GCAAATATATGAATTTCATATATCTAAAATCATTATCCATCAGATACAATTTATTACCTTGATTGAACACCTAATTCTCGTAATCAATTTACAAGGAATTGTGCATTGGCTAAAGGGGAGAATTGACAATCAGATCTTGGGAGTTGAAGGGTTAAGAAACACGCATGCTCTTGTTGGTCAATGTTATAACGAAGGGGATAACCGTCTGAAGAAACTGTGGTGTGTTAGAAGTAAAAATTACTCTAACACTCGTTGTCTTGTTGTCTATTTCTTTATTCTCTCTTACTACTCAAGGCATTACAACGGGGACTAGCTCTGATCTCTCGAGGAAAGTGTGGGTCACCGCTTATAAAGGTGACACTTACTGAGCTGTCAATCTCTAACCCTCGTCATGTTTTTACATCTGAATAGCGAATCACGTTGGGCTACGCAGAACGGAGTTTGCATACTAAGTAGATACCTTCGCGATGTATACGCTTTACAAAATGTATTTCTAACTTAAATTTCTTGGTCTTACGGTCAAGTTTGGGCAAAACAAAAACAAGATTGACAATATAAAAATTATAATAAACTTAGTAACAGAATTAAAATCATACTTGAAAAGGTATCCTAAAAGAAAATAGTCCTTGAAGGCTGTTGCATAACAGCAGAATAAACATAAAATTCGGAGAAGAAAGGGCGTACCCGAGGTACCGCCCCTAAAAGAGCTACGTACTCGTCGTATGAGTTATCTAATTACAAATTCAGTGCGGAAGATGAAAAGTACTTTAAGTCACCTCTAAGAAAAAGAGGTGTCGAACGTGCTAAATTAAAAACTGAAAACTATTTTCTTGATCGGGAATGCGACATGGATTTAGCCTGAAAACGAGTATTTAATGGATAAAAGTATAAAGGAGGGTTATTTCCAAGAAATTCCTATACGGGATCAATTTTTATAGGGTAGAGTCATTTTCTTAGTAATGAGTTATTTTTTTAGCATCATAATGAAAATATACCGATATTTAGCCGCAAACGCCGTTCACACAAAAACATCTGTCTCCATGTCAATTTCACGATCACGATAAGGAAAAGGTGACCAAACTCTACCTGTAAGGTGAGACCGCCAAAAGGAATAAGAAATGAGCAACTGGCCTATTACAATGTTTACTGAATGGCTTATGCAAATATGTTATTTCCATTCATTTTCCAGCACCAATAGAGGAAACTCTTACAATGTTTTTAGATTAGATATATTTCTATTTTTATCGTTTAACAGGTGCTACGTCAGTGGCAAACATCACACGATCGTTTGGTAAAAGATTCTCTAGCTGATGTTTCGAGCGTTACCCCTTCGTCAGAGCAAATAAAGGAATTGTGGGTTCTGCGGTTTTTCAACAGAAGAAGGACACATGAAAAATACAAGAATAAACTAGTTGAATGGAAAGTGTTTGTTGATACCGCGGGGATCAAGAGTGCCAATTTAAAGATAAACTTTCGTTCTTGAGTGATAAAGCTTAAATATCTTGGACAACTGTTCAACCGTTTTTAAATTAATTGTTTAGAAATGACTACCGAAATAAAAGGCTGTCTTTCCCTTTTTCGTCCCCTTATTAAAGTCAACGCGAAATTGTGTTAACAATAAAGTGTAGGTGGTGTGATATTTTATGCCAAAACTATGGCCTGCAATTTAATTCAATACAGTTCAAAAAGCTTTTAGCCACTGTAATAATCTGGCCCCGGTTGTTCGAAGGTTGGATAATGCTATCCACTTCAAAAAACTCTATCCGGTGGACAACGCTAAACGTTTTGCTATTAGTTATACGCCGGATAGTGATTTATCCGTTGGATAGCATCGTCCCGGCGCCCTTTATACAACTGGGCCCTGTAATTTAGCTAAGTGCAGGTGATTTCATCAAGCCGTTAGTTACTGGCCTTAGATGTCACTGCATGTGTAAGAAAAAAAAAGTCCTCTGCAAGCCGCTGGTAGTTTTTTTCACCTAAAAAGGCACAGTACATCTAGAAAGAAGCTCAAATATTGTCACTGTTCACAATTTTGATTCCATGAGATACATACTCGAGTTTAATTCAGACTCAATACACCACTCCATCGAATATTTAAAACCTTCAATTTTAATCAAGTTGCGCAAATGTTTATGCAGTGCGCATTACCCAAGAGAAAAGCAATTCTTTCTCTCTCGTTTGAAAGCGTCCGAGTATAATTATTTCCGCCTGCAACGCTGCAACGAGTACTGTGGCATAATTCACCGTATTCAATTAGTGTTCAACCCGTTTTCCAGATATGAAGACTCACTGCACCCTTTGAAATAATTCACTTGTATATTGGTCGCTACTGAGAGTAAAAGAAGAAGCGAGACAAGCTGAGGGAAAAAAAAATCAAATTTTACGACGAGGATATCGCAGTATCACATCCGAGACTGTTTCCTATTTTCTACCACCAGGTCATAAAAAGCCAACGCTTGTAGCAGACAGTCGCTCAAATCGTCCTTCTTGTCACACGATTTGAAATAGTTCACAAATTGTGGCGATACCTGTAGCAGAGGTTTGTTACTATTTCCAGGAAATCCACTCATCTGATCATCGATGAACGATTCGACAAAATCCTCACTGCCCTCCATCCCTTGTTGTTCTTTAAGAAACTGCTCACATTGAGACTCGAACGGTTCTTCATTTTTTCTGTCCTGAAACAAGCTCTCCACCAAATTCACAGCTGCTCTCTTCTTGGTTCTACCCACAGGAAGACAAAAATGTTTCGAGGTGTACAACGGGTCAAAGGGTATTACTAATCCAGGCAACAAACAGGTCAACATGGCTTCAAACACGCGAAGGTGCACCGCAAAAGGGAGAAGGGCGGCGGTTTGTTTCCCGATCCGATGGCTTTGCATCTCCACCACATAGATGTCTGTTTTAGGTACTCTGTTAACAAACTGTTGAACCTGTTATTCAATAAAAAAAAAATAGTAAAAAAGGTTTTCAACTTCCATATATTTACTGGAGTCTCTCTTTCAAAGGCCCTTTAGGCGGAGCCAACTATCCCCACCCAATTTTAAGAGGGGGGGGGGGTGGTGGTGGCAGAGAAGAGAGGCTCCAGAAAAACTGATGTGGGCTTACTTAAAACGGCTCTGATGTCGACAACCTCTTGAGCTGGTCAACTAGATCAACTTACTTTCTAACCATCATTGTGCTCAGAGTGAAAGATGAAAAAAAGCAAGAAAACCAAGTTTTGTATTCGTGTTTGGGAACTGAGGAACTCAAATCTAAAAGCTTACCAAGAATGCAGAAGTGGGAAAAGGTGAAATACCAATTGATCCCTTAACCTTTAAAACACTCTGTTCTTCTGCACACCCAGAGACAAAGGAAACAATAGAAAAAGTACCTAAGCCATATAAAAGTAATTCCCAACCTTGCTGATATTTATTATTTTGAATCATGCATGGCAGAATGGCCACTTTTGACATTTTTTACTCTACACAAAATAAAGATGTTTTCTCTATAATATGATCTTGTCTTAAAAAATGAGAAACCAGTTGATTTGGCTCACAAGAAATACAATAGGGGGTCATGCATTTAAATATCAGATCATTTTTTATAATCTTACATTGATAAACTCGACTAAAAGATAGTTTGAAAGACACATTATGAGCAGCCTAAATTATTCATAATTTGAAATCAAGACAGTTACTGTTAAACTCAGAAAACCTTGAAAACTTTGATGTGATTCCAGCAAGCCAAGTATGTATTTAACAATCTAAATAAAGTTCTGCTCACATGGGTAAACCTAAAAATAAAGAACTGATAGCCATTACTGTCTGTGACTACAGCTGATTGTCTAGTTCCCTGAAACCTGAATCATCTCATACATATATTTGGTTTAACAGTTTTCTGAGTTTAACCCCTAATAACTCCCATGAGTGACCAAGACAGAATTTCTCCTGACAATATCAATACAAAATAAACCAGATAAGTGATGAGAATAAAGAAAAATATCAATTTGGGAATAATTAGTTAATCCAATACTAAATTCTCTGAACTAACATTAGTTAGTAGGAAAATCAATGCTTACCAAAGGTCGGAAGACAGCCGGGTTGTAAGGCTTGGGTTTTATAATTTCAGCTCGGGACCAACCCAATACCTTCTTATCTTTGTCCATACGGACCCAAGCAGCATTCTGAAATCCAATATCTATTGACACAATTTCTGATATCACCTGAAAACATAAAAAACCACTAAGTCGTGAGCCTGGCTTATTCAGAAAATGTGGAACTTCAACAACTTAATCCAAACCAAAGTACTCAGGTAAAAAAAATTGAATTAAATGCCCAATTGGCCCACCCAGCCAGAGCTAATCCCTTTTTTTTCTTAGCATGAAGTGACTAGGAGTATCACTACTCCCCACCTGGAAAGGAGCTAGTCCATCCCAAGGTTACCCCCCAACATTTCATCAGGCTTCCTTGACACTTCACCAGCACCCATTTACTCTCCTTGGTCAAGAGAGGCATTTTAAGGGTAAAGTGTTTTTCTCAAGAACACAACACATTGACCAGGAAGGTCTTTCACCTGTAACCCTTGACAGGAAGTCCAGCACATTCACCAAAAGTGTCTCCCACTATCAGTTGTACAAAGAAAGTTAATTTAAATCAAAGCTTTGACTACAAAATTGGGCCATTCTTTGCAATAAGAACTCAGATAGTGTGGCACAAAGGCCATATCACAGAACCATCCATAACATTCAATAAATGTAAGTCAAATCACTTACATCTTTTTTATTCTGTGCTAACTGCTCCCAGATGGTCTCCAGTCCTTTAGAAGTCTTTCTCTTAACAGCTGCTAATCCACCAGCCTCTTGAAGATTTTTAAAGAATGCAGAACCAAAACCTTTTATTTGAAAAAGATCCTCTACACTTTGAAATGGTCCAAAGTTGTCACGGTAGTCTAAAATGGAAACTGCTTTAACTTTTCCTATGCCTTTGGTGTTTGAGAGCTCTTCTAAACTTCTACTATTTAACTCCTTCAAAATTACCTGTAAAGAAAACACAAGTTATACACAAAGATTTACTGTCAGAGGTTATCAGTCATGCCTCCCATTTGTATGTGATGCATAGTTACAGTCATTTACAAGTACAACACTAAGGTAGTGTTAGGGGTGCTTTTGATCCCTTTGGTGTAAGTAAAGGTGATAACCTACAACAAAAAAAAAAAGATTGCATGCCCCTTAAAGCCACTAAGCAAAGGACCATTCATTAGGAAATCTTGTTAATATCCCTGCTCTGTTGATCAAATGCATTTCCATAATCAGATCTCTTCTTGCTAATGTCATCCAGGCTCCAAGCTCAAACTTTTTTTAAATAGCCCCTTGATGACTTAAAATCATTTGAGTGAAATAAAGAAAAGGAGGAGAAATTTTTTGTGGAATATTGCATAAAAATTTGATGCAAATTCCCATCTAGTTCATATTAATACCATAAGCAATAACTAATCTTGAGGTTGAATCTTTTGTTTAATTGTTTCTTCTAGCCATGGTAAACTAAAGGATTGCAGCATGGAGCTTTCATCTTTGAAATACTGTTTTAACAACTACTACCCCCTGTCAGTTGGGTAAAATTTCCACACAGCCCCATCCTACATTATACATTCAGTTCTTGGATAGAGAAAAAAATGACAAAAACAATACATTGCCATTGGGAAAACAGATTTGTTTTACGATAGTATGGAGCTCTGTGGAAATTTTACCGTCAGTTGTTATTCCCATAACAACGAAAATTAGTCATAGAACGAGGGACTGGGGTGGGAGAATTGGTTCCCCTAAGGATTTTAACTTTGAACTCTAAAGTAGGACCGATAAATTGAAAAGTCCTCTATGTTGTAAAGGTAACTGATGCTACTCGATCAACACCCATGAGCCTAAACGCTACATGGAACGAAAACCTGAACATAGTGTCTATATACCTCACACAACTGGTGGTAAGATTCTACAGTTTTTTACAGAGATATAAAGGCTCTTACGGCTTTGATCCCTGCCGGTCAAATCTAGGATCCGAGAATTCTAATGGAAGGGGATGGGAGCAAAGGGTGTGTACATGAAGACAGAAGTGACACGAACCTCTCTAAGTGTATGCAAAGCACTAAGGCTCCGAGTATTTATGTGACTAACCTGCTTTCTGGCTTCGGGTAGATCCACCTCGATAGTGCCTATCGTTTTAGTTTTGAGAATAGACTGCGGATCATTCTTTTCCTTCTTTTCTGCTGCATTTGTAACAGAAGTCGTAGAGGCACTGCTTCGGAACGATATTGAGAACGCACGCGAGATGGGACAGCTAACTTTACACCGGCGACAAACAGCGGAATAAGTAACAAAGCAGGAGGCTAATCGATTCATATTCACAACATTCTCTACTGATCGAAGAAGATTCATTCCCAGACATTAAGAGGCATCACCGTCAACAATCATGCTTCACTTTACCACGAGTTCGTCCGCCATGTTTGGCTTGGTTGCTAATGTAATCTCGCCCCAGACCTCTCTCGTAGTGAAAAATGGTACATTGGGCTGGACGATTGGGGATGTTATGGCACCAACTTTAACCCTTTAACATATAACACCTTAGAGTGACTAGCATCTAATTTCTCCTCACAATATCCCCCCTGAATCACACATTAAGGTCACAAGAATAAAGGCAATGATCACCAAATGATGAAGCTCTAAATGGTCAAAAACATTTTCCTTTTTAGCACCCTAAAAAATGTATAGGGAACAGTATGAGAGATATGTATACTGATTTCAGGGTGTAAAGGGCTAATACGAATAAAGAAAATGATAAAGCAACTTATCATGTTAAACTTTGCCACAGCAGTTATTCTCATCGTTTTATGCAGGTTTTGCCCCACTGCAAATTCGCCTCTGCAAAGATAACTTCGCCCCGTTGAATTTAAGAACTTTGCCGCTAACCCTTTCTAGTATTTTCAACTTTCTTTACGCCGACTCTTTGCCTTAGGGATTTTCGATCAAGATAAGAAATTCTCGCTGTAACTCACTTGCTTTGTTTTAAGTTGCCTTTGTAATATTTATCTTTTTCTTTTTTTCATGTCTTCTTTTTTTTCCTATCTTGGATCTAAGCAGAAAATGTTCCTCGCTTGTTGATTGTTAGTTTGGTACCGACACCAACAGAAGCATTTGGCATCGACACCAACAGCGAGCAAAAGGCTCATTGTGATATAAAGAAATATCAGCAAAAGAAATTTTTAAAAAATCTATTTTTAATGCAAAATTTTCTTACTTTCAAAATTAAAAAAAAAAAATTATCATTATTATTCTTATGATACAAGAAAACGTTTTATCTATAAATTTCGAAAAAAAAAAGGATGCACCACTAATTATTCATCGTATGTACGTAATACAATTTCCAAACATTTTTCCGTATTATCTAAACCCTGTACATCTAAACTTCCTGATAGAAACGTCTAATTGCTTTAAACTACTTTTCGCCTACAGCTTTAAATTCAATTGTTATGAAATCCTTGAGAAAGGAAAATTACGAGAATGGACCTCCCTGTCCATATTCCATGACTGCTGTTCCTGCGAACGCCGTTGCTGGGATTTCCGACGTACTGAATAATTTTGACTAGTTCCCTCTCTTTCTATCTCTAAATATCAAAAACGGAAGACTGGAAACGAGTCGGCAAAATTGCCTTCAACTTTAAGAAAACTGCAGTTTGATAACTAAGAATAACCTCACACTGATAAAAATTAAGTAAGGAGATAAAAAAGATGGCTAAAGATACTAATGATTAAAAGGTATTTCACACGTGCACCTTCTACAAAATGCTAAGGGAATATCAACCCTAAAAACTTTCGTTTTACACTTCGCGAGCAGAAGAATTGATAACGTTATTTTTCTTGAAGCTAAAGAAAAATGAAGTCAACCTCTCTTCTGATCACTAAGTAATCTGAATCCAAGTTACAATATCTTAATGATGCTACGGGGCGATTCCAGCAAAATTCTCTTTGGACTGACGACAGCTTAAGCTGTACCGTTTTCCCACGCGAGGGTCAAAATGACCTGAGCACTTCTTAATGTCGTATTTTCAACTCAAAATTAAGACTTAAAATTAAGTAACCTCAGTTAGTGCAATGAGATAGTGTTATCGTCGTTGTTTCTAAAAATATCGTAGTGACAACTTTTTACTTCTCACGGAAACGATAAACCTCGACAAAATGCATCAACTTTGTTTTCACAACTTTGCTTTCGTATCAAGTGAATAAATAAATAAAAGCGCGCGTTGTCAGGAAGGGTGTAGGAAGGGTGCAGGGCGTGGCATGTCTTTTTGGTCAAGTACACTGCTGCGGGTAACTCGGAAACCTCAACCATTTCCCAGAGCGCCTACTACTCTGTAAAGATATCTCCTAATAAATTCTCTTCAAACCGTAATAAAATATTTGTCTTTCGTATGGTACTAAATTGAAATAAAATAATAGAATAATAAAGCAATCAAAATTTTCTAAAATGTAAGAATTTTAAAATTTTTGTTATCAATATCTATCTCTTTTCATTTAAGAATCGTTTATTCGTCTTCTGCTCTCTGACCTCGCGCAAAGTTCAAAAATACTTGCTCCAATGTGGTCTGACTAACAGAGTAGTCCTCAATATTGTAGTTCATCTTGACCCGCTCAATTGTTCCAAACAGCTGAGCCCACGATACGCTTGTGTCACGGATGTGATAGTGGACCATGCCTTGGTGCTCGTCCTTCAACACGCTGCCAGGGAATGTACCTTCAATAAATTGTTTCAGCGGTCCGGTATCCGGTGTATCGCTGCCCACTCTTGCCAACACAGTGTATCCCTCACCAAACTTGGTTTTGAGGTGCTGCGGACTTCCGAGGCATTTGAAACGTCCATTAACCATAATGGCGAGTCGGGTACAAAGAGCTTCGCATTCTTCCATACTGAAAGCAAGAAAAAATTGTTATAAATGGTAAAGAAAATAGATAAAGATGTTTTTCGTCTTGTCACGCGCGTTGGACAAAGAAAAAGAGTGCCCATGAAGAACCGAGCCTCGACCTTCGGATTCCGTGCTCCGATGCTCTGTAACTGAGCCACTGAGCCACAGAGACTGTAAGGTGAGCAAGACCGAATATGAAGTTCATATATGACACGCGTCCTGCATACTTCTAGGATCAGCAATGTCGATAGCGTCATGTTTTGTGAGTAGAATGAGAGAAATGGTAAGTTTTGAGCTCGGAGAAGGACGTTTGAAAGCTGTGAGAAAGTTATGTTACATTCGTGCCGTTCCCTCCCAGAGAAGGAGCGGGTTCGAAATCTCATTCTCAGGGTCCAGGGGACGAGGCTCAGGTGGGCGTAGGGAGAAAAGGATCTATAACACTTAAAAAAAAAAAGAATCGGAGTGGTATCCAACTGATTTGGTTGTTCAAGCAAGAGTAATAATTTGTTGAATAAAAGCTTCATTCATCACCGCTCAAAACTGAGGCATACTAGAGCAGTAAAACTTACAAACGGGTAGACGAGAGTTTAATATCACGATGGTATTAGGAACTCATAGAGAGACCTACCTGTGTGACGTGATCACGATACATCGTCCATCCGCCCGTACACGTGACAGTGCATCCCATAATAGTCTCCTAGCCACTGGGTCCATTCCAGTCGTGGGTTCATCCAGAAATACTACTGGAGGGTCCCCTACCAGTGATATGGCTGTACTCAGCTTGCGTTTGTTTCCACCACTAGAAAGAGAAAGTTATGACACATTAATCACTTCCCAGTATTGGGGGATGCTGCTCGTACCAATCAAATCACGGTAAATTAAAGGGTATGTTGGTCGTACAACACCTTTGCTTAAGTACAAAATGATTGCTGCCGACGTTTGTAGGCAGCCTTCACCTTTAAGAATATGGCTTTACATCATACATCCTTTGTTGATGTCACCCAGGAGAAACGACTAACCTGTAAGAACCGGCTACTTTATCAGCATGATCCTGAAGCAGTAACGATTGAATGAGAGTATCCACAACATCCGGTATTATGACTTCCGGTACGCCACGAAGCCGCGCGTACATATATAAAATTTCTCTTCCGGTCATCTGATCGATTAAGGCGTCAAACTGGGGACAATAGCCAATGCGCTGCCGAACCTGAAAACGCAGAGGGCAAGTGGTCATTGACAAAAGTATCAAGAGTTAAATGTGAACACTAGCTGACGAAGTTTATCCCGGTTTCTACCGATTGAAGCGGCTAGAAGTATTACTACTCTCCTCCTGGGTGAGATGTTACTTCATCGCAGGTTAGGCACAGTGAGGGTAAAGTATTTTACGCAAGAACACAACACAATGGACCAGTAAAACCTCGAAAAAGACCTAAGATCCCAAATCTAGGGCTCTAACCACTCTAGGTCGCTACATCTTCCGCCAAATGACAATTCTGTACAAATCGTAATGACTAGAAAAAGGTTTATATGGTGTTTTAAAAAAACACAAATGCAAACTGCATGTAGCCAAAACATTTTCGCGATGGAATTCTGTTACATAAGATGAAATGAATTGGCCATCATCCCTCCTCAAAGGGCTGCCACCCTCAAGCTCCAACTTCGGTTCGTTGACTCCCAAAAGAGATATCAACAGCATTCCATTGAAGACATCTTACCTTGTTCATGTTGGTCCTGATGTCAAACCCTTCGACCAGAGCTGTCCCGGATGTCATTGTCTCGTCACCAGTCAACATGCGGAAGGTTGTGGTCTTCCCTGCTCCGTTAATTCCCAAGAGACCAAAACACTCATTCATAGGGACACCAAGACTTAAACTATCCACAGCAACCAACGGAGAACGACCTAGAACATAAAGAGTATGATTGCCGATTGAGCGTCTCTAGAAATTTGTACTTGGACTGAGAGCAATTCTTAACTGAGTGTCGAAACTTATTCAGGTTTGCACTGGTTTTGCTTACCAGGCCATGTGATTATTACAGAGAACTCTTCCAACCAATCAGACGTAAAACTAAACTCAACCACAAGCCTACGTGTCTCATTGTTCACAGGTTAGATATGTCTTGTCTCCTAAGTCAATAACCTAGCTTAGAATCCTAACAATATCATTAATGAAGTCTTCCGCTAGTATCTGGTACTCGGTAAATTTCAACCTTACGGTTCAAAAACGCTTAACAAGTCTTTCAAAAAAAAAGGTGATGTCACTTGAGGAGTTCCTTAAAAACTCGATAGCTTCGTTAAATTCTGAGGGGCAATGAAATAAAAGCGATATTACGTTTTACAAAATATTATTTTTCTTGCAAAAAAAAGGTTGAAATAGAACTTACGGCCGTTTCCATAGAAAACCTTGCTCAGCTCCCTGATTACGAGCACATCGTCTTTGTCCGTAGACCTCATTACTCTTTCCTTCTCGTCTAGAACGTCGTCATCATCGGCCGAGTGCGATTCCTGAGATACAATCACGTTTGCGGAGAAGGCGCGCAAGCGCTTAAAAAATCGCGCGCAGGCGCTAAATGCACCATACTCGATCAACAGCACGAGAGAGTAGAAAACAATTCCTTCCAAAGCCAAGAAAACCAGGTATCGGCCTATACCAGGATTATCCCAGG